CAGCAAACATACAAACAAAATGGGTAACACTTTATAATAACTACACTTTCATAAACTATTGGTTATGAATAAAATTTAGATTCATGCTTCATTAATGTTAATTAAGATGCAGTCATGATAAAGTGGTGCCACAAAACACAATAAAATAAATTATTAGCACACAAAACATACCTCAATAAACTATTTTCATTCTTTCTAGGTTTCAGCGTGGATCGCGTGCCCCAGGACTTGGATGTGATTGTGATCGGCAGTGGGATCGGGGGTCTCACGGCGGGGGCGACTCTGGCCAAAGCGGGGAAGAAGGTCCTGGTTCTGGAGCAACACGATCAGGCCGGAGGCTGCTGTCACACTTACATAGAGAAGGGATTTGAGTTTGATGTTGGTAAGAGTCAATCAAATGTATTATTATTTCTTTGATAAGTACAGTTTGTAGTCATGGTCATTTCAATAATGGGGATTAATGTATCAAAGTATTTACTTTGTGAAGGACTGTCTTGGTATCCTATCATGTTTTGGCCGCACAGAAACTGAAAGTGCACTATGTAATTTTTCTGTTTGTCTCCATGGAGATGTCATTACTTCTCCTGAAACTCTTACTCATTATGGCTTTAAACCTAACTATCTTTATAGCTACAAACATGACCACCAAGTTATAGATCAGGTCTGTGAAAAGGGGACCCCACTGACAGTAAGACGTCATCTTTGTTGCAGTACAGTTAAAAGTTACATTTCAGTCAGAACAATATATCCTCTACATAGAGACAAGCAAGTGGCAGACATTCCACCAGAAATTTTATATAGTGCATTTTTAAAGCCAATTTTCACAACAGACCTAATAAATATATGAAAATACTATACTAAAAATATATGCTTTGGTTTGGCTGACATACTAAACATACATTACCAACTTGCCTTACTTACTTACTTACTTACCTTACTCACTAAATATAATAAACAACTTTTTCCTTAACAATCACCATATTATACTGTACATATTTTCCTTACAGGTCTCCACTACATTGGGCAGCTCCATGAGAACAGTCTGCTGCGTATTGCCTTTGATCAGATCTCCGAGGGGCAGCTGGAGTTTCAGGAGCTCAACCAACATTTTGACACCATCCAAATCGGAGAGGGAGAAGAACAACGAGAATACACCATCTTCTCGGGCAAAACAGCAATGCAGGCCCATCTCATCAAGCAATTTCCTGATGACAAAGAGGCTATCGAGACTTTCTTCAAGATCATGAAAGTAAGATAGTAACTGATTTTGTATTTTATTGAAGGGACACTATGTAAGTTTTGTGGTGGAGCGTCTGGAGATGTTGCTTTGTCTGGAATATTACACAAAATTGAACGATGAAAAGAGGAGAGAGAGGAGAAGGAGAGGGAAAAAAAGAGAGATGGAGAAAAGAGAGGGAAGAGAATAGAGTGCTAAAGGACAAAAAGGAGCAGAGTAGGAGGGACAGAGAAGTATTTTTTGGAAATAAAATGTCTGTAGTTGAATAAATTAAACATAGATACGTTTAAAACAATACTGTGGGACATTCCAGGCAAAATAAAATAATATCAATTTCATTCACCTTTAAGAAGTAATCAAACAAATGATTTCCTTGCATTTTTACAGATCTGTGCCAAAAAGACCCACTATCTGGCAACCCTAAAGCTGATTCCTCAATGGGTATCTTTGCTCTTGCTGAAATCGGGCCTTGCAGATTGGGTTTCTCCAGTTTTCAAACTTTCTGGGACGTGTGCCACAGAGCTGGTGAACACATTGACCAGCAACAAGGACCTCCATGTCATCTTCTCCTACCTCTTCTATGGTAAGAATGAATAACTAAAATAACGTTAACATATGTGTGAATTAGATATTGTTAAGAAAAACAGATTTATTTAATATATAATAAGTGTAGTCTACAATTAGAAGTAGTACAGAAAGTTTTGCAGACAGTTGTAGTAGGAGTAGTTTTAGTTCTAGTGGTAGTAGTAAAACTTGGGTTATACATTATTGAAACTTCTTAAAATAATTTTGGATTTTAAATAATTTATATGTGGAATAAACTAATAAAAGACCTAATTTTTGAGCACACGAAATGCCACAATTGTTCAGGAGATGGCGTGTTTAGATTTAAAGCAGTATAAATTAGACTGCTTTATTCAAGTTAGTGAAAAAATTTTGAGCACAGAAATGATTAGAATGAAGCTAACAGTGTATTGTCTTTAAAAACATGATTTGGTGTACTTCCTGGATAACCACCCAATGACATCACACTGTGGAACCACATTTTTCAGGATTCACACTTCTGACAAAAAAGATAGAAATATGTTTAATCACCTGAATTATTTTTGCAGGAGTGCCACCCAAAGATTCCAGTATTTTGATCAACGCTCTCCTGGTCCACCACTACAAACGAGGGGCATACTACATCAAAGGGGGCGCTAGTGAGATTGCCTTCCATATAATCCGCACCATTCAGAAATATGGAGGAAACTGCCTGGTCCGAGCTCCGGTCACACAGATTCTGGTCAATGATGAGAACACAGCATATGGTGAGAAGAATGCCCACAAATACTGGATATGCACGAAATTATGGTTAACAATATTTTACTGTGTTTCTGACAGGTGTAAAGGTGAAAAAAGGCCAAGAGGAGTTTGAAATCCATGCACCTGTCATTGTCTCAAACTGTGGAATCTTCACCACCTTCCAAAAACTGTTGCCTCGGGAAATCTCAGTTCAGAAAGGTGAAAAAAACAAACTTGAAATGGCAATTTTTTCATAGTTTATAATTACTACTAAACTATTTATGGGTTCCAAGCACATAGAGGCTATGGTTCCAAGCAAATATTTATGATGCTCTACTGAATTCATTTATTTATCCTTTATACTCTTGGGCAACACACTTGACTCATCTTGTTTGGACTAATGTATTTTTCCTATTGGAGATCTGCTTGTCTCCATGGAAAAGTTATTGTTTTACTTATATAATATTCAATGCAACATTAAGCGTATAAATCTTGCAAATTAAATTAAAAGCATTCTTACTGTGAGTGGGGCCCCCTCTCCACAGATCTGACCTTAACCTACTGTGAAACCTCCTTGCAATAATTTCTCCATGGATATATGAAGATGACAGACCCTCCACCAGAAAAGTTACATAGTGCACCTTTAACATAAAAATATATGTTGTATACTGTATTGTTGTACACTAAGCACCACCAAGTCAATTAACGCATACAGTATTTAGTAGACTATGATTTACAGTGCATTAGGGATGTAACAATAACCAAAATATAGTGATATCGTATCGTCAAACGTCTCACAATAATATCGTGGGGTGTCACAATATATCGAATGACAAGTTCCTTTGCTTAAATGCATCAATTTATAAATGCAATAGCTAATATACTTCAGAAACTACATATCCCATGGTTCATTTCAATGCAGACAACATGAAGAAATATGTTTTTTACTTGAATTCTTGGGATTATGACAGTAATAATTCACACCAAATTCTTGTCAGGGTATTTTAAAAGCAAAAAATTAGTCCTGTCAACAATTATATTAGCCTCTCCATAATATCGCAATAAATATTGTACAATAAGATGCATATTGTGATATTGTACAGAGAGATTTGGATATCGTTACATCCCTACTGTGCATAATTAGTTTTATTCAATAGATCATTAATAATATTTTGTATCTCCTAATCACTGTTGTTCTCCCACAGAGATGCAGGAGCGACTAAACATGATGAAACATGGCCGTGGGTCCTTCTTGGTCTTCTCTGGGTTTGACGGGACTCAGGAGGAGCTGGGCCTGGTCTCCACAAACTTCTGGCTCTTCAAAAACAACGACATGGACAAATCGTGAGTATCTAAAATATAAATGTGTCAGTTTGACTTTACACCAGGGGGTGCTCTTGTAAAAGCAATTCAGAGACACAAATTGATGTCGTTAAAACGCCATGGATGGTTACCAGGAAAAAGATGTGTTTCAGATTTAACAGACAAATATGAAAAATAATAATAGTAGAAACTAAAAAGTACTGGTAGAATGTAATTGTAGTGGAAGAAGTATTGGTATCACTTTATAACAGCAACCCTGTAATTAGCCTTTATAAAACATGACTGGACTTAATTAATTATGAACAAATAATTTATTAAGAATGACCGACTTAGTAACAACTTAATTAAAAGGTTAAATTAGTTAAAAATAAAAATAAAAAGTTTGTGCTAAAATGTTAATTATTAGTTGTTTATCTATGTTATAATGTTGTTTCCTTATCATAAACATATCTGGAGTTGTGTTTTGTTTCATGTACACATGTTTAACAAATCCTGCATATTTAGGCTGAGTTTTTCTCTTATACGGAAAACACTTTGTTCCACCTTGTGATGTCATGTGGTAATACAGGAAGTGCTCCATTGTGTTTTTAACCTCCATACACCTTCCCTAGAATCATTTGGGTGATTTCAGCCCCTGGGATCTACTCTATCTCTAAGGTAAAAGGTAGTTGTTAACTTGAAAGCTACCACTTCATGACATCACAAGGTGGAGCGAAGCATTTTGAATTTTGGAGATGCAAACAAACTACTACTAAAACTACTAATATCTAAACTAAAACTAAAACTACTTCATTCACACATGTTTAACACACAAATCCTGCATATTTAGGCTAAATTCTTAAATGGAAAACACTGTCTTAAATGGAAAGTACTAAAACTAAACTACTAAAACTACTTCATATAAAGATATAAAGGGTTACTCAAACATGTGAATGAAACAAAACACAACTCCAGGTATGTTTCTGATGAGATAACATAGTTTAATGCTCACACAAGTCAATTCTGCATAATAAGCCAACATACACATTTGTATCAACACACATTGTAGAAATTGTAAACATGCTGAAGAAAACTACAATTTTTTAGTATTTCTACACCAATACTATTCCCACCTATACTTGTAATGACATATTTGGACACCAGGTGGAGCATGAACTTACAGATGTTAGCACTTTTTTCCAGCTTTGTGTCTGCTTGCTGTATAACTTCTTGCTTTTTTCTAGTATGGAGGACTTCTTTGCACTGAGCAAAGAGGAAGCCCCTGACAACATTCCCATGATGTTTATAACTATGCCATCTGCCAAAGACCCGGAGTCTAAAATAAGACATCCAGGTAAATCAGTCTACTAAATAACTCCCCATAGTTATTTTTAGCCCTATTAAAATTTTAACATTTATTGTCCTGGTTTAGGCAAATCCTGCATGACTATCCTGACCATGGTGAGGTATGAGTGGTTTGAGGAATGGAAAGATACTACAGTGCGCAAAAGAGGAGACGAATACTACAACTACAAAATGAGATTTGCCAAAAACCTCTTCAACTGGGCCTGTAAACTGTTCCCCAAAATCAAAGACAAGGTTCGTTCTGAGACTGTTTATATTTTTCATTGTGCAAAGTAAAAGTGTAAAGTTATTAAACACTTGTAACCATATTGTAATAGGTAATAAGAGTAGGAGCAGTGGTAATATACCAGTAGTAGTAGTAGTAGTAGCAGTAGTAGTAGTAGCAGTAATAATAGGTGAAATAGTAGCAGTAGTGTTGAAGTAGGTAGTAGTAGTATTAGTAGCAGTAATAATAGGTGAAATAGTAGCAGTAGTGTTGTAGTAGGTAGTAGTAGTAGTAGTAGCAGCAGTAATAATAGGTGAAATAGTAGTAGTAGTGTTGTAGTAGTAGTAGTAGTAGTAGTAGTATTAGTAGTAGCAATAGCAATAGCAATAGGAGTAGTAGTAGTAGTATTAGTAGAAGCAGTAGCAGTAGCAATGGCAGTAATAGTAGAAGCAACAGTAGTAGTGGTAGCAATGGTAGTAGTAGTAGTATTAGTAGTAGTAGTAGTAGTAGTAGTAATAGTAGTAGCAGTAGCAATAATAACAGTAGCAATGGCAGTAGTAGTAGTAGTAGTAGTAGCAGCAGTAATAATAGGTGAAATAGTAGTAGTAGTGTTGTAGTAGGTATTAGTAGTAGTAGTAGTAGCAATAGCAATAGCAATAGGAGTAGTAGTAGTAGTATTAGTAGAAGCAGTAGCAGTAGCAATGGCAGTAGTAGTAGTAGTAGAAGCAATAGTAGTAGTGGTAGCAATGGTAGTAGTAGTTGTAGTAGTAGTAATAGTAGTAGCAGTAGCAATAATAACAGTAGCAATGGCAGTAGTAGTAGTAGTAGTAGTAGTAGTAGTAGTAGCAGTAATAGTAGCAGTAATAATAGGTGAAATAGTAGCAGTAGTGTAGTAGCAGCAATGACAGTAGTAGATAGTAGCAGTAGCAGCAGTGGTAGTAGCTGAAGTAGTAGCAGTAGTGGTAGTAGCAGCAGCAGCAGTATTGGTAGCCTCCTCCTACAGTGGGGTACTCATTTATAGCTCAGTACATGTAAAAGGAAAGAGTACTTGTTATACATAAGCGGTATTACTAACATGTATAGTTTCTGTATTTGATGCACATTTCTCACTATAACTAAATCCCCTGCCCCTCTCAGCTGGTGTTCCAGGACGTGGCAACCCCCCTCACAAACTGTCACTACCTCGGTGCCCAAAGAGGAGCCATGTACTCGGCTGAACACAACCTGGACAGATTCCACGCTGAGGCTGTGGCCCGCAACAGGTGCAATACGCCTGTGAAGAACCTCTACATCTCAGGTAAAGACTGCAGGGTTTACATTAAAGGATTTACAATAAAGTTAGCATTCAGTAGGCTTCATATAGGCTTGTAGAAATTGTAGATATATTGAAAAAAATTTATATTATTCTAATACATGGTACCCTCAAATGAAAATGTCCAATGTCCAACACAATTATGGTGAATGGTACAACATTTCTGGAGATTTCTATAGTGACAGTCGCTCTCACTTGTTACTTACACATTATGTTCATACAAAGGCAAGGTGAGTGAAGTGCTTTGCTCAAGGACACAATGGTCAGATCTGAATCAAACTACCTACGCTTGGAAATATGGTGGCTTGGTGGTTAGAATGTGGATAACCAAAGAGAAAATAAAATCACTACTACAGCATAGTATGTGCTTCGGTTCTGGTTAATGGGCAAATGTTTTTCCAGCATCTTCATTGCATAAAGCATGAATGAACTGTAAAGTTTGTAGCCTTTTCAAGTTGTTTATATGAAAATATACTCAATATTCAAATTTGACATACTTTAACTTCTTGGGTTAGTTTTAAAGACAATTCAATACAATACAAAACATAAACTTGTCTTTAAAAAGAACCCAAGAAGTTAAAGTACATAAGAAGACAAAATGAACGTCTTTGGCTTAAATTTGACATACATTTGAAACAACAAATGCACTGATCCATGTGAGATATCTCCCACCTCTAAATGCACTGTTTATCTCAACTAACTTAAGCATTTTATTATATTATGTTATTTATTTATGTTTTCCTCTTGTGGTCTGCTCCAGGTCAGGACGTGTTCAGTTGTGGTATAGCTGGAGCTCTTCATGGAGGCCTGTTGTGTGCCTCGACAGTTCTGGATCACATTGTGTACATTGACTTGCTCTTCCTCAAGAAGAAGCTGAAGAGGAGAAAGGCCAAGGAGTTGGCTCAGCTCGAGCAGAAGAAAATACAGTGAGAGAATCCCCAGCGCCCCTAAAGGACACTGTCAGAACTGCAACTAGGCCTACATGATGGACAGTATTGATTATTGTTATACAGATCAAGTGATATGTTTGTTGTATTACTTCAGATACAAAGAAAGTAACTTATTTATTAATCCAGTGCTAATTGTTAAGTATGAACATATATGTACAGTTATATTTTTTCTCAATCAAGAATTTTATATGTACAGCAGATGTAAACTTTTCATGTCTATTTGTGTATATGTTTTTATGTATGTTAATAAACTTGAAGAACTAAACAGATTCTACAATTAATGCCCGTTTTTTTATTAATACCATGGTAAAGTTACTATGGACGTCTCAGTTCCTGTTATAGGCACCATTTTGACGTCTTTGCATTCAAAAATTTGATAAATAATTAGCTATAGAAACAGTCCAAAATTTTTGTCTTAAACTCATGGTCAGACAATGATTATGTTTTTCTTTAAAGATTTTTTATACTTATTATTTTGAGCTTTGTGAACTTCTCTGCATACCTGGGTGGACTGCATCAAACATACATGTTAAATTTACTATAAACTACACTGTCAGGCAAAATTAGCAAATGATTCATTTGTTTTTATACTTTAATTAATCAATTAACCTGAATTAACCTTGCCCATTTAGCCCCAAACTGTCCCTCCAAGTCTGTATGACCGTAAAATAGCTGTATATTACCTGTAGAGCTAATGATTCACCTGATTCCCAGTTGAATCGCACTTGTAAGTCCCCCTGGGTGTCTCACTTCTCACCTATGTTGTTCTGACCTGTGTAATAACCCCATGTTGTTTGGCTAACTGCTGGAATCAAACATTTTGGTGAAACCTCAGACTTCCTGCTCTAAGTGAACATTTCCTCAGTAAACGCTGGACAGATTGGCCCGGGCAAACTGTGGTCTACGGGGGGATCCTAGAGAAGAATGCCCCCTCTGTCCTGTCCGCTGCTGGATGAGAGAGGCCTGGTTCTGCTCTATCCAGACTGACTGCTGCTGCTGCTGCTGTACAGGTGGGCTGCTAGCATTTTATCATATGGCCTGTCTATAGAGTAATTAATCTGAGCACATTTTAACTCACATAACTACTAATAATTTATCAGAATATAGGGTTAAGTAGTGCCTATTCCTACTGTATTCATGAGTGTGTGCGATGATTTTGACCACTATTTCAACAGTATAACAGCACATATACAACATACAAGAGTAGTACTTTTCAGAAGTGTGTAATTCATGGATCTAGGTTGCCTACATTTTGATTATTTGTGTTTCTTTTTTTTTTCTTCTGAAATACCAAAATCTGCATGTGCATCAGCCTGGACACCTAAATCCTGAATAAATTGCAAGCATATGTTTTGGCTACATACTTTTAACTAAACCTAATGTCATTATCATTGTGGTCATGATTCAATTTTTTGATAATAATTTTGAAATATTACTTCAAAGCACCTACAATCTCACTTAAGTCAAATGTGTGGCTGCACTACCTGCCCCTGCCAGGCTACTAACAATCTCCAATATTTCCTCACAGGGAGTGGTACATTATAAGGACATTATATGGGGTACCACAATAGCTTCCATCTCTGCATGCGGTGTCCTCTGCAAGCTACTGAAACACAAGCCACGTGCAGGTAGAAGAGATCAAAAACTGAAATGGTACAAAGAAGCTCTAATTATATCGACTGTGCGTGGCTGGAGGCTCAGTGCACCATAACATGTCATTACAGCAGCACAGAAAACTGCACCAAAATCATCATGGGAGCTTTGATTTAGACTCTTACTTTTCTATAATGATTCACCGAGACATAACTTACTTTGAATTTATTAAGTCTATGTTGTTTAAAGAATTTCAACTTTCCAATTTCACTTTCAACATTATAAACTGCAAAAAGTAACATCTAAGAAGTTCAAATTACTCAAATTAAGAAGACAACTTGATTTGACTAGATTTCACTTGAAAAGTAAGATTATCTACAAGTGGTATAAGTATTTTTTCTTAATTCAAACATACAATTTGCTTTTTTATTTTAAGTACAAAAAGTTGTTGTTTTTCTTATCTTCAGTGTAACTAGATGAATTTTCCAATTTCAGCTACACAAAGACTTTTTCCATTGGTAAAGAATTTTACTTGTCATGTGAAATGTACTCAGATCAGTATAAAATGTTCTCAATTCAAGCTATTTTAATTTATTTTTTATTTTTTGTAGTGTAGTACGTGGTATTTTCCTATAGTCATGAAGATTTACTGTATGTGATGTGTATGTGATGTGCTGCAATTGCAAAAGAACAAATGTAAGTTTTATTGTTAAATGGAAGCTGTCTTCTTCTGTAATGTCTCTAACAATACTTTCACTCTCATTACCTCATGTTTCTGTCTCTACAGGTGCCTAGGGGGGGCATACAAAAGAGTGAGGATTGTGTATTCTATTACAATGGCAGTCAATGTAAAAGTTGTGATAGTAATTGCCTATAGTATTGCCCTTAATCTGGGTGACATACAGATACAGACACACCCTGTGCATTGATTAGCTGAATAAAAGAAGATGTGGCACAGGGAAACGCCATCGATATTAATAGGATCTCATGCAAAAACTATTATATACACAGAGAAGTACTAGCAAATAGTAACTACATAAGAGAAAAGGAAGATTAAACTGTCAAGTCACTCACAAAGATCCAGCTAACTCATACTCATGCATTCTTCTTTCTTTATGTATAAATGCTTAATCTTAATAAAATAAATAGTAATAATAAATAATCTAATAAAACATTTGGTTAAAGATGCACTGCACAACTGTTCAGTTTGGGCATCCGCTACCATAGAAATGCTATTGCTTTGACGGTAATGTTCCACAATATGTCATTAGACATGTATAAGATGCATTTATTCAATTATGAATGTTTTTATTAGTCTGGCTGGCACCACCTAGTGCCTCCGCTCAATTTCATTTCTCTCCAGTGACTAGGTCAGGAATCAGAATACACTAGACGGTTTACAAGAACCCCAGAAGTCCCTCCTCCCAGTCTGCCACTGTCATTTTCTGCAGCCCAGGTGAGACTGGAGCTCAAGAAAATTAGACCCAGGAAGGCAGCAGGACCAGACGGCATCAGCTCCAGGCTCCTTAAGTCCTGTGCAGACGAACTGTGCGGTGTTATGGAGCATGTCTTCAACATGAGCCTTAAGCTGAGGGTGGTACCGCGACTCTGGAAGACCTCTTGCGTGGTACCAGTGCCTAAGACGCCGCACGCTAAAGACCTCAGCAGCTTCAGGCCGGTGGCTCTAACATCCCATCTGATGAAGACACTGGAGAGACTGGTCCTTGGCCACCTCCACTCCACCGTGAGCTCAGCGATGGACCCGCTGCAGTTTGCGTACCGGCCTGGAATCGGAGTGGAGGACGCCGTCATCTACCTGCTGCACCGCTCACTGTCCTACCTGGAGAACCCTGGCAGCACTGTGAGGATTCTTTTCTTTGATTTCTCCAGTGCTTTCAACACCATCCAGCCACTGCTCCTGAGGGACAAGCTGGAGACTGCCGGTGTGGACTGTGACCTGGCAGACTGGATTCTGGACTACCTCACAAACCGGCCCCAGTTTGTGAGATCCAAGAACTGCGTGTCTGACCTCCTGACTGGTAGTGTGGGGGCGCCCCAGGGCACTGTCCTCGCGCCCTTTCTTTTCACCCTCTACACTGCAGACTTCAGACACAACAAGGACAGCTGCGTCCTGCAGAAGTTCTCTGATGACTCTGCCATCATTGGCTTCATCAAGGATGATAATGATGTGGAGTACAGAGGACTAATACAGGACTTTGTGGACTGGTGTCAGCAGAACCACCTCATCATCAATGCAGGGAAGACCAAGGAGATGGTGGTGGACTTCCGCAGATGTCACTCTACTACCCTCTCAGTGAACATCCAGGGAAGGGACATTGAGAGAGTGGACTCATATAAGTACCTGGGTGTTCATCTGAACAATAAACTGGACTGGATTCACAACACAGATGCACTGTACAGGAAGGGCCAGAGCAGGCTCTATCTCCTGAGGAGACTCAGGTCTTTTGGAGTGGGGGGGCCACTCCTGAAGACCTTTTATGACTCTGTGGTGGCATCAGCCATCCTGTACGGTGTGGTCTGCTGGAGCAGCAGCATCACAGAGAGGGAGAGGAAGAAGCTGGACAGGGTCATCAAGAAGTCCAGCTCTGTCCTGGGCTGTCCTCTGGACTCAGTGCAGGAGGTGGGGGACAGGAGGGTCCTGACTAAGGTCATCTCTATGCTGGGCCATGAGTCTCACCCCCTGCAGGACGCTCTGTCTGCTCTGGAGAGCAGCTTCAGTGACAGACTGATTCACCCTCGCTGTGTGAAGGAGAGGTTTCGCAGGTCTTTCCTTCCTGCTGCTGTCAGACTTTACAACAAACACTGCTAACACTGAACATGTACCAGTCAATCATAACCATGTGCAATTATTTTTAAGTCTATTTTTAAATTATTTTAAGCTATTATTTATTATCTGTGTTACCTTTTCCTGCTGTTCTGAAATTGTGCGTTGCAACACTGGAATTTCCCCACTGTGGGACTAATAAAGGCATATCTTATCTTAAGTGTGAGTTCAGGCACCAGCCAATCAGTGAAGAGCCATATATTCTGTGTTGTCAATGATTCCCGAGATCAAGGATTTAAAGCCTGAACAAAGAGAATGTTTGGGGTAAAGACGTTATTGCCCTTCTTTCTATGGAATTTGGGAAAAGCTTAATATACCAGTTAGCCCCGTTAGTGGCGCATTAGATACGTCACAACCAAATAGCAGTGATTGGTTAAAAAAAAAAAGTAACCGCCTACCGTCGAGCGAACAAATTCTAACACTGTGAGGTCAGACGGTTTCCACGGCGTGAAACCGGCTGATGAATGTGATTTTATTGCCTGATGAATATGATTTTATTGCCTTTAAAAATACCTATAATTGAATATATAAATAAATTGGCC